ACAAGATGAGTAACAATATGTGATCTTTTCGATCTCTCTAATGCTGATAATAGTGATTGAGATATATCTGATCTGATCAGTTTTATTGTTGTCATCTCCAATCATTACAGAATGAACTTCTGATTATAGAATGTTAATCTCAGACATATTGACTATAGGCATTTTTCTATCCCATGAGTGCTAAATTCAGAACTAAACATCTTGAACTTTCAGTATACATCATTACTCTAAAAAATCCATGCTTCATCTCAGATTTGATAGAAAGAGAAATCAATAGTTTTGATCATTAAATTTAAAGTTGAAAAACATTTGGTAAAAATTTTTTCATTATGCTCTACTTCTTTTGTCATCTTGAGACCATGCAACTTATTCAATACTAAATAGGTTTGGCTAAAACGCAAATAACTAGGAGAAATTATAATTGTAAGTAAATGGAATAGGAAATAAGGATGAATATAAAAGGTTAAAATGATATTTTAGATAAATAGGAATATGAGTTTTCAAAGAAGTTCGTGGTGCAGTAGGCATGGTTAAATAGGGGTGCTTGTTTAGATCATTGCAGATATATGAGGAACTTAGGTCTGAGACATAATAAAAACCTCAAAACTTAAGAGAGCATGAAATTTATTTACTTATGTAACTGTATCGGAACAGAAAAAAGTTAGTAATGAAAAGATGTATAAATATCTTATATAGTTTTCATAATCATTTAATTATCAAAAGCATTTAAATTTGAGAAAATAAATATTTTGATTTATATTTTTAATTGTTATTTAAGGAGTTTTTAATAGGAATATTATCATCTAGATCAGTTCTCATTTAATTTAATTTTAATGCTGTTTTGATTCACTAAGTAGAGTTCTATCTCTTAATAATTCAGAATTATGAACATATTATTTTTTAATTAATTTACCGATTCAATGTAAAAGAGGTTTAATATTTTGAAATTGAATTTAAGCTTAAAATTATTGTTTTAATTAAAATATAAAGAGGTATATTTTTATCTTATAAAATATAATTAATCTTTAAGGTTCCTTCTTTCGAACCAACTTCAGTTAGATCTATTAAATGGAGATGGGCAAGCAGCTTATAATGAAATAAGAATCAGGATCATAACAAGATAATAGAATGTTTATGAGAGTGCATCATGAGTCTACAAATATTTACATCATTTTATGAATAAAAAGGATTATTTTCTTTTTTGAAGAAGTTGTCATTGAAAAGAGCAATGTATAAACAGAAGGTTAATCCAGCAATCATTACATGTAGAACTAAAATTCTGTTAAATATAGAGGAAAGGCTTAAAAAATAAGTACCTAGTTTAATATCAATCTCTGGTTCTAGTTGAATTAGAGCAATATCAAATTCTTATTAAATTTCAATAGTGTCATGATTTTGTTGTATTTTTGTTGTGGTCCATATTTTTGAATTAAAAGCATTAGAAATTACAAGATATTTGAAAATTACCTCAAAATTCCTTTAAGAAACACAGATCTTATTTAATAATATTCTAGTGGTGGTGGATGTATAAGGTTCGAGAAATTCTTTTATTTTGCTATCAAACTGTTCATTTTTTAAATTTCTAATTCTTTTCTTTTTTTTAATTTATATATGCATATAAGCAGATTCTAATTCATCCTAGAATGTTTGATCAATAAAAGAAATATCATAATGATCACACTCTAAATTACTTCAACATTATTTTGTTGATTGTAGTTCCCTTATGATATTTATTATGCTATCATATTCTTTGCTTATCAACTTAACGAAATTGTCTGATTCCTTAAATAATAACCTCATATACTATTTGAAATACTGTTTCTCAGAGCGATCAATAATTTTGACAACTATTGATTGTTGTAATAAGCCACAATTTACAGTAAAAAAAAGCGGCTGTAAGTATTACTATTGTGCTTTAATCCTTGCTCTTCTAAAATAATTATTTTATGAGCATGATACCACTTTTCTTTTTGTTAATAAGCAGGTTCTATCTATTAGTTAGAATGTTAATTTATAAGACAAGATCACCATCCTTTTTATGCTCAGTCTCTAGGACTAATTCATCAGCATATCCCAATAATTTGACCTTATTAGAAGTTAGATTAAAAAGATCTTTTAAATATTCATCGAGGTAAATAAGGTAGGGGAGATTCGAGATCCCTTGGTTACTCCTTTTAAATAGTAGAATTTTCCCTAATGTTTGATGGATAAGAAAACAGCGCTCTACCCTTAGTCTCCTATTATCCTTGCCTTTGATATTTTTGATTAGTTAAAATATTGAATTAAGTTCTAATTGATTAGTAAATCCTGTCTATGTTTTA